AGAAAGTCAAGTTGAAGTTGAACATAGTAAAATAATAATTTTCTAACTGAAAGGTTACTTACCTATTTTCTAAATCTTTTTTATCCTATTCGGTAACTGTAGACAAAGTTTCTTTAGACATCAATAAGACTATTGTACTTTTAACATCAGTTGCTAATCGTGTACGAGTATAGTCAAGCGAATACACAAAACATCAATGATGCTACCACTTATTACACTTTAACCAGATTATTTCGTTTTCGTTGATCAAATGTAAATCAAAACAAATCCGAACGGAAAATTCAAAGAAATAATTGATTAAATTACCACGCCAAAATGAATGAGGGTGTTCATTTTTGAAGATTTGCTTAGTAAATCAAAAGTAACAGTGTACGTTCGACTAATTGTACCTTGTTTGAACATTTCACCTTAATTTTGAAGAAGTAACTTAACACGTTCAATAGATACACTTGTTGTCTGTACCAAAACAATACTCATCTCGTCACCCTACGAATCTTCAGAAATATTTCTCTTATTTCGGACATCATTCGTCCGATGACATGTTTTTTTATTTGAAAATAATTGAAGATGGCTTTACCCTGACACTCTTTATATGCAGTCAATGAATTCTCAACCAATTCAAAAATCCTAAGCGAGATGATTTTGTTAAAGGATGTTGAGCAAGCCATTGATGATCTGGTCGTCGATTTGGATTTCGTTGAAGACAATGATGAAGAATATCTTGAACAAGATTAGAACTAGTTGATGAAACACCATTTGGTGGACGTGGATTTTCATAAATAGGTCTTTTTCCATAGGTCAAAAAGTATAAAATCGCACCTACGGACCAGATATCAGCTTTTGATGTTATCGGTATTTGTCCTGAAAAACATTCAGGTGCACTGTAAGGGCGTGAACCTCCTATTCTTTGACGTCCACTATATCTTATGAAAAAAGCAAACGTTTGATAGAATATAGTCTTTGAAGAAAAAGCATTTTACCCTGCAAATTCATCTTGTGCTGAACCAAAATCAATAACTTTAAGTCTTTTCCCGAAATATAATAAATTAGCCGGTTTGAGATCACGATGAACCTACATTGATTAGAAATTCTCTCCTCACCAAAATAAATTATTTAGACTTACAACACCATGTCGATGAAGTGCAAGAATAATATTAACTAATTGAACCCAAATATTTTGTCGATCTTTCGATGAAATAAAATCATTAGAATCCGAATATTTCGAACTTAAATGTTTTTTATGAAGAATTCTAATGCGATCGAGAAATAATTCGTCAGCTAATTCCAAAACTATAAAAGCCAAATTATATTTTGATTGAAATTCATATCCATACATTGTTACAACATGTTCAGTTTCATTCAACAATCGATTTGCCATTTGAATTTCACTATTAAAAGAATTTAAACGTTCATTCACATTAATATTATTACTTGATTGATTAAAATCAAATACTTTCACAGCAACATATTCACCTAGAAATGCAAAAATCAGATCATTGAATTAAGAAATAAAAGAAGCGCACCATTTTGTGTTTTTGATATCCATACAGATCCGTATGTACCATAACCGATGGGATTAATCAGAGTATATAAATCACCTTGAATACGATATGATTGATGTGGATGAATTAATTTTCTCGAAAACATTTAATGTATTTATCGATGAAATGAAAATACTTGTGTTTCTTTTCGATAAATGTGACATCGATTAACTTTTCTTTCTTATTTATCCACATAAACATGTTTTTCAATATAATTATTCATACGAAATTAAAGAATAGATATCGTCATATTTGATTTACAATTCAATCGAATTGATTCTTTTATTAGTCGATAAAATTCAAAATGAAATTTAATTGTTGTTAATGAAGAAAAAAAATTTTTCTTTTGATTGATTCTAAAAAAAAGACAAAAAAAATGATATTATTTTGTTTTTTCTTTTCGTCAAGGATATTTATAACCACATAATAAACAATATGACACAAAAAATAAATTCACATATCCTTTCTCAAAGCGAATAGCAACTATACTCTTTAAAATTTCACAAAAATGTCAGTGTATCAATGATATCATATAAGAATATCTAATAGTCAATGAAATCGGTTATGTAATCACCAATATCGTAATGTCGTTGTAGATTCATAGACTAGAGAATTAATAAGGAGTGATAATTTCAAGCTGAACACATTTAGTATCGAATGAAATAGTACGAAAAGAAAAATTTTCTTCTTCGTATATCGTTACAATTTAAAAATATTTTTCACTAAAAATGACTAATAATAAACAAATGAATATTTTCATTCGAAAAGATCAATAATAATTTATTTTATAGTTGATTCTTTTGATATGATTTGACTTTATTTCTCTTGATATGATATTTTGAAATTGTATCAATAGTTTTAAACATTATTCATCGATATGATGTGAGTCTAAAGAGACATACGATGATAAATTCACTGAAGCATGACGTACAATGTCTGAATAAGAGAAAAAAATATATTTGTATTGATGATCCGAAAAAATCATAAGACAAAGTACTAATGGACGAAAATAACGTAAGAAAATATCCAATAATTCGTGTTGCTGGTGTACCCGAACATTTCAATGAACCATGGATAATTGGAATTGAAGAAAATCTTTTTTTAAATGAACAAATTCAAATCGAATGGCATTCAATTAAAGAAGGAACTGGTGCAATGATAAATAAATTAAAATCGAACGAAGTTGATCTCATCATTGCATTAACTGAAGGTTTAATTAATGAAATTTCTAAAGGTTCAGATATTCGTTTAATTGGTACATATGTTCAATCACCATTAACATGGTCTGTATCAACTGGAATTAATTCTCAATTTCATTCAATTGAAGATTTAAAAGGAGAAATCTTTGGTATAAGTCGATATCAAAGTGGATCACATTTGATGAGTTGTGTTCTCGCAAATCAATATGGATGGAAACAAGATGATGTACATTTCTTAGTTAATGATAATTTTGAAAATTTAAGAAAATCACTTAATGAAAACACATCTGCTGCTTTTCTTTGGGAATATTTTATGCAAAAACCTTTTTATGATAAAGGTGAAATTCGTCGTATTGGAGAAATCATCACTCCGNCTTTAATATGATGTTCAGCAGCTTTTGCTGCTGCTTTATTCGCTTCAAACTGAGCATCCAATCGTTCACTTGGTTTCACATTTGGATCATTGGCTTTCTCAAATTTCTCATCTGCTTTTTTATTATCAACTGCTTCTTTGACTTTTTCAATTCCAGCTTTGACCGCTTCCATTGAAGTTACTACGAAATGACAACGAAAATACATTTTCTAAGAATTGTTCTAGTTATTTTATACTTACATAGACTTAGAAGATGTACGATAAGAAGAAAGTGTGTGTGTGAAATGAAAATGGAACCAACTGTCTGCTCGTTTCTCTCGTTTTTTTTAATTTTCTTAGTCGAGAAAGAAAGTGAAGAAGTACAAGTATGTTCGCGGTCATCCGGTCATATTTCTATCAGACCCAGACAGACAGACAGACAGACAGACAAGAGCAAGAGGAAGAAAGAAAAATGTATTCACAATTTTTTTCTCTCTTTTTCTTCTGTTAAAACAGATAATGAAAATCATCGTTCTTTTCTTTGAACTATATCAAATTTATCAGTTGTGCACATAAATTCTTTTTAATAAATATTCTGTCAAAGAAGACAATAATATAAAAATGAATTTATTGATTTATTCATAATTCCACCAGTTGAACATGAATTTGAATATCGTTATTTTCTCACTACATGATCTTATCTTTGAGAAATTTATCTATCATATATGATGATACTTAGAATATAGAATAATATTCATATTAAAATTAATTAAGAATTTTATGCAGATATTTGTTGAGATAAAAGATATCATAGCACCATTTGCGCTAAGAAAATTAAGTTGAATTTGAAATTTGTAATTCATCTGGTTATCATATATGCATTTATCTACTTGTTTTATTTATAAGAAGCAAAAAAAGGAAAGAAGAAAAATGTTCGTCGTTTTCGATTGGTGAGAAAAATCACCAATGATTGATTTGAAGTTGTAAAAAAATATGTCATAAATGGAAAAATGTATTTTTATTATAAAATATTTTTGTTCATAAATTTGAAAATATGACAAGAAAATCTTTGAAAATTTCGAATTAACCTTTTTCGAAAAACGTAGATTTTTCTTTAAGGTTATAACAAATATGTCGAGTTCTTATCGTTTTCATCATTGATTTCCAAAATGTGAAAAAAATCTTTAATTGAAATCCAATCTATCATTTTAGATAAAACAAAACGATCAACGAGAAATGGCATCAACAGTATGTAAAGCAAAATTTTTGTTAGACAAAAATGAATATCAAATGACATCTTTCATAGACGACTGGAAAAATTACTGAATTCCGTCGTTTATTGTCAAATGCTCGATCAGTTCTTGTTTTAACCGGTGCAGGAATATCAGCCGAATCAGGTGTTCCAACATTTCGGGGTGCTGGGGGATTTTGGAGACAATTTCGTGCAACAGTTCGTTATTTCCTTCTTTGAAAACAACTAAAGGANTGTTGGAGTGAAATTCAAGGTTATTCAGTTCATCCATGGCAAGGTGCTTTATGTGGATCATTAGCAGGAGGAATTGCTGCTTGTTTAACGACACCATTTGGTTTGTTAATCGAATTTGATTTTTGCCAAATTCGAAAAAGACTTTCTTTTCTCTTTTTTTTAGATGTGGCAAAGACACGAATTATGTTGGCACATGTAAATTTCTTTTTTTCCTTTCGGAAAGAAAACAAAATGATTTACTTTTGTCTTTTAGCATTCACATACTGATGCAGCTTCTCATTCTTTGAAAATTATGAAGAACATTGTGAAAAATGAAGGATTTCCTGCGTAAATTTATTTCTTTTCTTGTTTTCTCATTGAATTACGAATCGTTTTGATTTAGTTTATACAGTGGTGTGTTACCTCGTACTACATGGATTTCAATTGGTGGTTTAATTTATTTTGGTTCATTTGAATTTGTGACATCTTGGTTTTTCTCTCCAAACAATTAGCAAATTCTTTGTTTTTGTTACAAATTTCTATTTTTAATTCAGATTTTCAAATAGAAATTCTTAAGAAAATAACAAAAAGCACGACTTCTATTGATGTTATCACATTTTGCCTTTCGTTGAACAAAGTTTTTAGATGATTATATCAGACATAAAGTTGTTTGTCGTTGGTGAATATAATGATGATTATATTTCAATACAACTGAATGAATTCTTGTTTTTACATATGCAATTTTGGATGTGTTTAGCTTTATACAATTAGATTTGTTCACTTAGATATTAACAATTACGGCGCATCTTTGTTACGATAATATATAAGTGCATTTATTCAATGAGAGAAAATGGTAAAACACGTTTTCACAGTACAACTACAGTTATCGAATTGTGGTAAGAATAGATATTTTACAAAATCTTGTTTATTTGGAGAGACGATGACAAAAAATATCAATAAGAGTATAAACATGAATGCGAATACTTCCAAACAGTTATCTGTCCTTATCATAATTTGTGAATTTATAGATGTGTTTAGAAACTTTGATATACCTTTTCAATTTGTCTTTCTTTATTGATTTTATCCAGAGAAAGATTTCTTCAAATACAATCTGTTTGATATACTGATTATATGATTTTAATTTTAAAAGAAACTTTGTTCTTTGACGATTTTACTAATATCTGAAAAATGATGATGATCTTTTTCTTTTTCATCCATCTTTTCTTCATTTTTCTTGTTATCATTGTCTTTTTTCTTATTCATCATTAATGAATTTAATCTTTCATCTTCATCATTGGAAAGATGCTGTGAAACGAGTTGTTCTTCAATTTGATTTGCTTTATAATATAATCTTAAAATAAATGCCTTCAAAAATGCTTCTTGATCCGTTGCTTCTTCCAATGCTTGCAACAATATTGGATGCACCTTTTCTTTATCGTAAGATATATACCAATTTAATAGTTCATTAAATCGTGCATCAACACGTTCTCGAGTTTCTTTGACCAAATTCGCTGCTGGATCGTTTTCAACGTCAACAGATGGATCTCTTAATACTAATTTGACAGTTTCAAATCTATTTCTCAGTTCCTGAACAGTTATTGTTTGCGATGGACGTTGACGATTCATTATCTGAAATATAGTACTTTTTTCATACAAAGTATTACATTAATTCGAAGTAAAATCGGATCATTTTGATTGACTACTATTTTAACTCAGTATACAACAATAATCGCGCATCGCCTATAAAATTTTGATCGAAGTGAACAGTGGAGCAACTAAAATACATTGTTTTCGACGCCAAAAACATTGAGGTATAATTCTGAAATCATATACAATGAAGTACTACATTGGGATTAGAATCAAGCGACAATATATTTATGAAACGCATGAAAATTGACTATTATTTTTCTTGACTTGAGATATCTCAAATTTATTCTCAATTTTGAGTAATTTACATCAGTTAAAAAAAGACTCAATTAGTACAGAAGGCTTTTAAGAGTGCTTAAATAGATAACTGATTTTCAAAATGAAAACTCTTTTCTGTTGTCAACTAAATCTTTTACTTTTCGATATGAATAGTATTTTTCGTGTGTATTTATGTTGAAAATGAATATCTTCAAAATGTACAGTAACTTTTTCTTGTTGAAGAAGTCTATTTATAATAGAAAGTATGTGCTTCAAACACATCATTGATATGATTAATGCTTATCTGTTTTTCTCCAATCAGAAAAACGTATTGAAATTGTGAAAAGCTTTAATCTTCGTCGCTGTTGCCTTAGGTGAGTTTCGCCACGATTTCCAACAAAGAAATATCTATTTTTTTACTAGAACACTCATGTACAATCATAAGTTGCACATCGTGGAAGTTTACGCAATGTCAATACGTTTTATGATTGGAGAAAAACAGATAAGCATTAATCATATCAATGATGTGTTTGAAGCACATACTTTCTATTATAAATAGACTTCTTCAACAAGAAAAAGTTACTGTACATTTTGAAGATATTCATTTTCAACATAAATACACACGAAAAATACTATTCATATCGAAAAGTAAAAGATTTAGTTGACAANATTACAAAAATCTTTTTTCTTTGAGAAAGCGAATGGAGCAATAGAGTAAAAGAGAGGCACGAAATTCATATCTTCACTTCAACACTTAGTCTCATTCTTTTAGCAATTTGTTTTTAAAAAATATCGTTGTATTAAAGTGATTCATATCTCTGACATCCTGTTTATATTATTTGATTCATTTTTCTGCACGAAAAGTAACCAAACGTAAGTGAAATATTTTAGTTGTTGGGAAGTAAAGAAATAAATTCTGTTTCTTTAGCGACATATATTGATTACTAAATATTTTGTAATGACATAAGAATTCTCAGGAAAAAAAAGATAATGAATAGTTTCGTTATTTTAGATGAGTTTAGAATGGATTGAATACGTAGGTTTAACATTCAATTTTCTGGAAGTAGCGTGGAAACTGGTACGAGGTGTTATCAAATTTGTACATAAAATAATCAAGACAATATGGAATAAAACTGAACAAGACGTTCGTAATAAATATGACGAAGTCAAAGACGAAGGAGAAAATTTTAAAATAGCTTTTATATTACGAATTAATGGGCAAAATATTGCTAAACGAAGAAAAGAAGTCGAAGCTTCGCTCATATCCGTTGAACTTGATAAACTTGATTCGTTAATTCCTTAATTATTCAATACAAATGAATTTTGATTTTTATCTTTTCTATTAATATCTATTCAAGAACTAAAGCAGTTTTGTTTTTATAATTAATCTTCCGATATTTCTTTGATTATTTTATTTCTTTTAAATTGTCTCTAAATAAATCATTAGAACAAAAATTATATCTTCTTATTGTCATTTACATTTCTTGTTGATCAATCTAAATATAGTTTTTATTGAAAACATAAAATGTGGATGATTTTCTTAAAGTGAATAAAAATAAAAGATTTTTAAGTACAATTGATTAATTTGTCAATTCTTACGAAAAAGTTTAAATCTCATTAAATAACAAATCTATTTAATAATCTACAATAAAGTTTATTTAAATATTTTGTAATTGTCTTTGTTGATGATGATAATAATGTTTAAATAAAGTTCTTTGAACATAATGTCGAGGACAAAGAAGTTTAATAAAAGCTAAACGAAATTCTTTTGATGTTAAAGCATAAACAAAGAAATTCAACTAAAAAAAAAAGAAAAGAAAACTAATTGAAATTGTATAAGATAAATGAGAGTTAAACTTACAGCTGAATTTGTATAACCAAGATAAGTAAATAAACGAAAAAGTTCTTGTTGAAATTGTGATGAAATTTGTAAATGAAAAATCGAAGTAAGTGAATGAAAAAGAAAGAATGGTAACCAACATGCAATAAATGCTCCCATAACAATTCGTAAAACTTTCGCTGCTTTATGTTCATGAGAAAATCTTGACCAACTTCGTGTTCGACGAATATTTCTTAATCTTTGTAGAAAAATCAATGATAAAGACGATGAACGATGATCTAATGGTGAATTATCTGGAGATGATTGATTATATTTTCCTTTATGAATTCTTAATGTAATTTGTTGTTGTTCAGTTGAAGATTTTCTTCGTGAAAATTTTTTTAAACGAATTGATGGAAGAAAGAAAGGTGTTGAAGACATTTCCTGAAGACTTTTCGTTTGTTTATAACCTTGACGAAATGCTTGAATTTGTTTTCGAGAAAAAATTAAAATTTTCCCATAAACAAACACCATGATGATCAATGGAATATAAAATGAAATCAATGAAGAGATTAAAACAAAGATTGGATCAGATGGAAATTCGCATCGTTGAATTTTACTTGAATTTTTTTCTCCGAGAAAAAGAACAAACGGAACCGAAAGAAATCCCGAACAAAACCAAATTGAACCAATGACAATTGACGAATGTTTTCGTAAAAATGATTGAGAATATGTTATTGGAGATCGAATTCCTTTATAACGATCAATTGAAATAACACATAATGCTAAAATCGATGCAGTTGATGCACCAACATCAGTAATATGCCAAATCTGACATAAATATTTCGAAGGACTTACGGAAAAGATTTCAAAAAAAGATCGCAAAAGGAATTACAAGAATTCCAACACATAAATCAGCTAAAGATAATGAAACTATGTAATAATATGTAGCATTATGAAGAGATCTTTCGCGATAAACTGCTAAAATAACAAGACAATTTCCAACAATTGTTAATAAACAAATGAAGATTAACCAACATATTCCCTTGAGAAACATTTTCATGATGAACATTAAAAGAAAAGAGATCAAAATATAATATCGTCAAATATTTTGACCTTATGTGATGAATAATGAGCAGAAATGTAGGCGTAAAGATAGACAAATATTTCATCTGTAAGTCTTTCAATGAAATCCATCAAATAAATAATTTAATAACGGAAGGAAATCTTCAGAACATTTGTGTTGCAACGATATTGATTTTCTTCGATTTATTAAAGATGAAAATGATCATCTCAGTATTTCATTGTGATCTTTTACAAAAAAAAAACAAATTTTTCTTCTTTGGAATCAATTAACAATGTCGTTGAAAATCCGTTTCCATTGTTAAAATCACAGAGAACAAAGAAGAGAAATAAAAATGATAAATTTTGATCTCAAATCAAATTGAAATGAGATGAAATTTAACCTCATCCACCTTGAGGTCTTCGTCGAGAAGAAGAAGGTCGCCATGCACATGAATCTCCATTAGAACGATTTGATTGTCCTGTTAATGGATTATGATCTGATGAACGATATTTCAATCGAGTTGGATTTTCATCTGTTGTCGATTTCATTGCTTCGAGTTTCTAAAAAGAAAAATTTTATTTGTGATGAAAGAAATTATTTGAAAAACTAACCGCTTGTTTTTCTGCTAAACGACGTTGAGCTTCTTGTTCATATCGTTTCTGTTGTTGTTGTCGCACTTTTTCCATCTGTTCATATTGATTTATTGTTTGTTCTTTTCAAGAGAAAAATGCAATTTCGTCTGTTTTGTTTTTCTTCTTCAAATCTTTTCAACTAACCTGTGGATAAACGATTTTCTCTTGGAGAATTTCGTTTTTTATAATAAATCACAATTGCAATAAGTAAAACAACGAAAATAATCCATTGATAAGTAACTAAAAGCAAATTCTAATGATAAATATTTATTAAAAAAAAAAAGAATTTTCTTTACTTATTTTGTCGAAAAATGACTTTTCAAAGAAATTAGTTTTTCCCTGTGATTGAGAGAAAATTGGTGAATTTGAATCCACTTCATCTTCAATTGTCACATCATCCATTTCCTCAAGAAATAAATAAAAAGAAATCGAAAACTACGTCAATGACAACAAAACCAATGAAAATATTTTTCAACAAAAATACAGATGTCACTGAATTTCATTTAAATAATCAAAACAGTTCAACAATTCTTTTTTTTTTTTCATTTCAAGTTTTCTTTCAGTCTTAANAATAAAAAGAAATCGAAAACTACGTCAATGACAACAAAACCAATGAAAATATTTTTCAACAAAAATACAGATGTCACTGAATTTCATTTAAATAATCAAAACACTTCAACAATTCTTTTTTTTTTTTTCATTTCAATTGTACTTTCAGTCTGAAAAATTCGTTTTCTTTTCACTGATCAATGTTGTCAAAGTCCATTTTCTCAGTACAAAATCTTATTGTAGTTGATGTAGTCAATTCTGGGTCACATATTTTGTTAATATCACTCTAATAATATCGATTGTCAATAAAAGACAATTCATGAAACATTATTATTCGTTCTACAAATGTTGTGTTACACTTTTTTTCATTATTTCAATGAGAAGTCGAATTCAAATGTATGTCGATAAACGATTTTTGATTTTCAATGTGCGTCACAAATGGTCACAGATGTTTTTTGAAAAGATTTTTTGTTCTTGAAATGTAAATGTTGTTTTTTTTACCGCGACGATAGAATGTGATAATGATTTCAAATGTTAATAACAATAAAGATGAATATTTGATACAATCATTTCTTATCATAAAAAGAAAGTTTTTGAAAACGAAATAAGAAAAAGAAAATAATCTTTGTCATATCTTTTAACTTCTCATCTTTTCAAAAGTTAAAAACGTGTTGATAAGTAAGATAAATAAAATTGATAATGGTAAAAGATCAAATTTCATCAACATCGAATGAAAAATGAACATTTTTTTTTTGTATTTTTCAATTAAAAGAATCAATCAAAAGAATTAGCTGTCAGTGTTCAAAATGGTTGTAAAAATTACGGACCTTTTTGGAATTCTACACGTGTTTTACACGATATTACACTTAACGTTCCCGTTGGAATTATGTAAATGAATTTTTTTTCCATTGAAAAACAAAACGAAAGAAAATATGAATTTGTTCATAGATATGGTTTATTAGGACCAAGTGGATGTGGAAAAACAACATTATTACGTTGTATTGTTGGTCGTTTTGAATTGAATTCAGGTGAAATTTTATTATTTGGAAAACATCCTGGAAGTTATGGACATGAAATTCCTGGTCGATCAGTTGGTTATATGCCACAAGAAAATGCACTTTATAAGAATTTTTCTATTTCGGAAATGCTTCATTATTTCGGTCGTCTTCATCATATGTCGAAAAAGGAAATTTTATCTCGAGTAGAATTTCTCATTCATTTTCTTGATTTACCTTTAAAAACGAGAAAAGTTGCTCAATTAAGGTTGGTGTTTTCCTTCGAATAAAAATTGAAATTTATTGGTTTGAATAGTGGTGGACAACAACGTCGTGTTTCATTNCTTCATCATATGTCGAAAAAGGAAATCTCATCTCGAGTAGAATTTCTCATTCATTTTCTTGATTTACCTTTAAAAACGAGAAAAGTTGCTCAATTAAGGTTGGTGTTTTCTTTCGAATAAAAATTGAAATTTATTGGTTTGAATAGTGGTGGACAACAACGTCGTGTTTCATTGGCATGTGCACTTCTTCAACAACCGAAATTATTAATTCTCGATGAACCAACTGTTGGAGTTGATCCTTTACTTAGAGAAAAGTTTGTTCAAAAGAAATTTTTTCTATTTAATAAATTTGAATTTAGAATTTGGACACATTTGATTGAAATTTGTCAATCAAGTCAAACGACGATTATTATCACAACTCATAATACTGAAGAAGCAAGAAAAGCCAATCGAGTAAGAGAAAATATTTGTTTGAAAAAAAGAAGAAAAAAAAACACAAAGTTTTGGAAAGGTTGGATTGATGAGAAGTGGAAGAATGTTGGCAGAAGATGAACCATTGAAACTTTTAAATCAATTTAATCAAATAGTTGTTTTTCAAAAGAAACAAATTTTCATTTTCAAAATAAATTTGTTAATTTTAGAGTTTAGAAAATGTTTTTCTTCATTTGTGTTTTAATGATCAAAATCGAATTGAAAGAGAAAATCTTCCAATTTCATTCGCAAATCCTTTAACAACAGAAGTTAATACAGAGAATTTTCTTCCAATGAATACAAATCAAATCAAAAGTTCGTTTTTATCGAGTTTTTTTATTCAATATTTTCACTGATTTGATCTTCGAAGAAAATTCCAAACCAAAAAAAATTCTTCGAGATTATTTTGTTTTTCCCAAATTACATAAAATTCTCGCATTGATTATCAAAGATTTAACAGTTATCAAAACAACTATCGGGTAAGACAAAGAAATTCGCTGAAAAATCTGAAAATTCTTTTGAAAAGATTTTTATTTTTTCAATTTTTAATTCCTGTTATTCAAGTTTCGTTGTTTTGTCTTTGTATTGGACGTAAGTGAAACAAGAAGAGTGACGTAAATCAACTGAAATTTATTGTTTTTAGGTGATCCAAAAGCTCTTCCATTGGCACTTTTTAACAACGAATCTCTCAACAATTTCCCCACGGGAAATGAGAGTTTACAACTTTTAAGTCAAATCAATTCTGATCAAATTCATTTTGTAAAAAAGAAATTCTTTTTTTCCAAAAAATGATTATGATTTCTTTTTGAAGAATTCGTTTAATAATTTTGATCAAGCATTGGATTCGGTAAAACAAGGTCGATATTGGGGTTTAGCTGAAATTCGAACGAATTTTAGTGAAGCGATCAAAGACAAGTTTGTTTTCTCTCTCTCTTCGTTTTTAATAAAATCATTTTTATTGTTAAACAGATTTTTCAAATTTCAAACTGATCCATTAACATTAAATACATCATCAATTCATTTACATCTCGATATGACAAGTAAATCTTTGAATGAAATTCAAAATGTTTGATGAATTATTGTTTATAATCAGATCAACAAGTGACATTTGTAATGCAAAATGTGATTTTAAATGGAACAGAAATGTTTTTAAAACGATTTTTATCTGAATATGGCTTTGATCCTTCGATTGTTAATCCACCTGTAATTATTGAAAATCCCATTTATGGAAGTTTAACTCCGAAATTTTTGAATTTCGCGGCACCGGGAATGATGATATCGATCATATATTTTTTAGCAATTGGTTTAACAGCTCTAATATTTGTTGTTGAGAAAAAAGAAGGTTTGTTAGAACGAAGTTGGATCGCTGGTGTAACTATCATTGAAATTATGTTTTCACATATCATTGTCAAGTTTTTTATTCAAATTATTCAAGTTGTACTTTTAATTGTTTTTGCACATTTCATCTTCGAAGTTTGATTTCGTCGATTTCTCTTTTTTTTTCCTCATTTTCTCTTCATTTTAGGTGGAATTTAAAGGATCATTATTATTATCAATGGCTTTGATTTTTCTTCAGGGAATTTGTGGAATGACTTATGGTTATATTCAAAGACGTGAAAATTTATATTTCATTTTTCTATTTGTTTTTTTTAAAGGTTTATTGATCTCTTCATTCTGTGAAAATGAAATGCAAGTTATGGAAGTTGCCATGGGAAGTGTTTTTCCCATGTTACTCAGTTCAGGTTTGTTGAATTCTATTGAAAATGATTTGTATTGATTGTTTTTTTATTTGAAGGAATTCTTTGGCCAGTCGAAGGAATGCCTTCAGTTATGCGTTTTCTCAGTCACTTTACACCATTAACATATCCTGTTGAAGCGATTCGATGTATCGCAGCACGAGGTGAGAGAATAATAGAATGATTTTCTTTGTTGAAAATGAATATTTCTTCTTGAAAGGTTGGTCATTTGTTTATTACAAAGTTTGGCTTGGTTTTCTCATAACAAGTTCCTGGAGTTTAGCATTTTTCATTATCGCTGCTATTTTACTCGCGTTGAAAAAATAATTCTTCTTCTTCTTCTTTTTTATTTAATAAAGAATATCGTTTGGTAAAACAAGGAAATGAATTTGATTGGTTTAGAAAAAGAAAGAACATATGATGGAAAAAGTCATCTCAATCTCTTTTCTCCAATCTAAAAATGTCTGATAACATTGAAATTGTAAATCCAAATGAACAAAGGTAAAAATAAATGTTTTTCTTTGGAAAAAATCCTTAATGTTCTATTTTTGAAGAAAATGTTCATTTCATACAATTCGATCGTATTTTATTCTTTTATGTTTCATTGTTTTATGTCAATCAATGATCACATCTGCATATTTAAGTTCGATTATTTCGTCAATTGAGAATTATTATGGATATTCAACAGAATTAATTGGCATTGCTCTAAGTTCATATGATCTCGTTTCAGTTATTTCAATTCCTTTATTTTCTTTCATTGGTTCGAAATTTAATCGTGCAAAATTAATCTCTTTTGGGTCATTTTTCTTTGCATTGGGAAATATTTTATTTATTTTACCATATTTTATCAATGGTTATGATATTAATCAATTGACTAATCAAACGAAAAATTCGTCATTCGATGAGTTTTGTTCTCCGAATATTTCAATTGAATCTCTTTATGAACCTTTCACACGACTTTCTTCATCTTGGTCGTATTATGTGATAATTTTATCAATGATTATCATGTCAATAGGTTCGAGTCCATTTTATACTTTGGGAATTACCTATTTAACTGATCATTTGAATAAAGATGATCAACCAATTTACACAGGTAAAAGTTTTCTTTGAAATAAAAAACAATTTTTTTTGTGAAATTTTATTTTTATGAAAAAAGGAATTTTGTATGGAATGGTCGCATTAGGACCTGGAATTGGTTTTGTTTTGGGTTCATATTTTGGATCGAAATGGATCAATATAAATGATGAAATCGATTCGTTTGATTTGAATCAAAATGATCCTCGATGGATTGGAAGATGGTGGGCAGGATTTTTAATTTCCTCGACTTCGTTGTTTTTTCTTTCCATAATTTTATTTACATTTCCATCTTCTTTATCAAATCATTCTCAATTACAACAAACAAATCAAAATGAATCTTCAACAAATTTTCAAGGTAACAACTTTTTTTTTTTCGTTTTTTCATATCAAAAACAACTTTTTTCTTTTAGTTTTTCGCAAAAATTTCATTGAATTATTGAAAAATGTTACATACATCTCCATTTCATTGATCAATGCAATTGAAAATGTATAGAAAATCTTTTTCTTTCGTTAAAAAAAAAGCATTTCTTAATTGTTGATCAATTTAGATTTTAGTTGTTTTATTTACAACATATTTGATCAAATATATCGAATCAGTGTTTAATTATTCTTCATCATATTCGAGTATTTTAACAGGATTAATTTTATTACCATCAGCTATACTTGGAACAATCTCAGGTGGATTTTTAGTTCGACGTTTTCATTTAACAATCTTTGGTTGTATTAAATTGATCTTTATATCATGTTTGATTTCTTTGATAAGTTTAATTTTGATTTTATTTTTAAAATGTCAATCAAATATTCGATATTCATTTGATGATCAATGTTCTCAAAAGTGTCATTGTTCTTCATTGATTTACGAACCAGTTTGTTATGAAAATCAAATCAATTATCTATCTCCATGTTATGCAGGTTGTACAAACAAAAATCAAACGGTAAGGTCAACACAACACAAATCATCGAGAACAGAGTCAATTTACACGAACAATCCACATATTTTTTCCTAATTAACGTCAAAACTTTGAAAAATAGACATGTTGAAAATAGAAATCATCGTTATTTTCGATTAAAGTTGAGATGACCTTATGTTTAGATCTAAAGAAAAGTTCCTCATTTACTTTTTCTTTTAAGAATTATCTGAATTGTCATTGTTTATCAAATGGAACGACGGTTGAAAAAGGTTTATGTGAAAATAATTGTCAAATGGAATTGATATTTTTCTTTGTAATTTTGTTTTTGGTGACATTTTTCGAAACTTTAATGGCAACACCACAATTAATGATTATTTTACGTTCGACAACCGAATCTTTGCAATCATTTGGATTGGGTTTAGAAAATTGTTTGATGAAGATTCTTTCTCAAATTCCAACACCGATTTTATTTGGAATTTTAATCGATAAACAATGTTTATTTTGGTCGAAATCTTCTTTATTTAATCACTCAACATCATGTTTGATTTATAATCAAAAACAATTTTCATTTACTTTATTTTTGACGATCATTCTTATCAAAATTATTTCGTTTTTCTTTATTTCATTTTTATTTTTATTCCATTGGAAAAAACAAAAAAGCATTTTGATAGAAAATTCTGGAGAACGAGAACATCTTTTAAATAATTCATCGACAGATATTCAATAAAATCATATTTGCGACAAAAAATTTCTCCTAACTTGATTGACTACGCAGTTGTTCGATTAATTCAGGTAAAACTGTTTGATGTGATGATTCTCTTATCAATGAGTAATTAACGATATTTCGAAGGATTGTTTTTTTCGTTAGGGCAAAACGCGTTAAATTATCGCGAATGATTGATAACTGAAGAACGAGAAAAATAAATGAGATGTATTTAGTCGTTATATAACGTTTATTTGTTTGTCGACATTTATTTTCGTTGAATCATGTCACGACGAAAAGGTAAAAAACAAGTGGAAACCTTGGCTTGGATCACCGATGATGAAGCCGAATTTTGGACGGTTCGATTTCGGATTTTTTTTCTTTGAGAAAATTTTTACACCAGGTCTTGTTGTTTTTAGAGTATAACACCAAATCGTAAAATTGCCGAACATGAGAAAATGAAAAAATATGCTTCAGACAATGACCTACCTGATGGTGATCATTTTCGTTTCGATCGTTCGTTAAGAGCAAAAAAACAACAAGAGAATCTACTCGAGAAGGAAAATCAACGTCACTCGTCGAATAATTTCAATTTGAAAAAAAAATCATTGGATCAAGTGAAAGAAATCAATGAAGAAAATCAACATCCTATTGACAAACCAACGACTGAAAGAGAAAAAAACGATAAGTTCTTTTCTCGATTAATTAAAGAATTAAAAGGTTCGTCAATCGATAATGAAGAAAATGTTCAACTGAATCAACAAAATAGTTTCGAAGATTATCAACAAATCAGTACAAATGACGTCATTGTAAATCAAAATCAACAACAATCGACAAGTTCCAATGAAGAAAACGAAACAAATCTACTTTTCGGTCAGTTTCATTCGTTTATCGACGAAATTACCGAAGAATCGTTTGTGATTACTGGAAGTTTAGATGAAGATACACTTTTTAATCGAAGAAGTAGACGTGCAAAAGGTTTTTCAGCTTTCAAATAAACGAACAAAACTTGTCGAGGTTAAGAAGTTTTGTCTTTGGAGTACAACTGACCTTCATCGTTTTATCTCAAAGGAATAAAAAATCGATTAATTTCTTTTCTACGAAATTCAATGATTTCTTCTTTTTGTTCTTTAATGATGAAAGATTTTCTAAAAAAAATATGTAACAGATTTTCTTTTTTAAACTAAATTCAATAAAGAATAAATCAAAACATCTGTTCTTTCCAACGTCATTGAAAAATACAAAAGAAAATAACATTTTCTTGTTCATCCTTATTGTACCAAAAGTATAAAATTTTTTTTCTTCACATTCAAATGTTAAATTCAACCAATAAACTTTCATTTCCAATCATAGTTCAACTGCAACTGAGCTGACGCCATTCACTGTAGGCGTTCGAATGCAAATTGAATAGAAAACAAAAACAAAGAATCTAGGAGAAAAGGCTAATCGAATCCAATGGAATGAAAGAGAAGAAATTAAATCCATCTGATACATTCACTTCGTAACATCAGGAATAATCATTAAGAGATATTTTCGAGAAACAATTTCAAAATAAGATTCCATATAAAATCTGCTGAATATTTCATTTCACGACATTTCACATATTCTCTTACTCTGAAAGCATTGTCGTTTACATTGACAACCAAAAATGCGAACGACATTCTTTGTACTCCTATCTGCAATTGCCTTTCTTCAACTCCCATCACGTTCATTTGCGAGTAAGACTTTCTTTATACTTTGCTATGTCTTTCAAGTTCATCTTTGCCTCTTCTTCTTCTCCTCAAGCTGCCCAAACGAAAACAGCGGCAGTCGATGCTCATATGGTCGTGAATAAAGGTGGAACTTTGAAAGGAACTATGGTTATTACAAATTGTGATAAAACTTCTCTCACACAATCGAAAGAAACTTTAACAAATACATTAACGAAAAAAGTACAAGCTGATGATACCAAAAATTCAAATTCGAAAGTTAGTGTCACTGGTATTCGAGAATTAGAACCAGGAACACTTGCTTTCGATTACGAATGCACCGAATCTAAAAATCCCGAAAAAGCTAAAGAAACGTTGAACACCTGTGTGAAACACGATGATGTGAAGAAAGTTATTGCAAAATCATCATCCAATGTTGCTACAACGCAGGCAAAACAACAAGCAAATATTCAACAAAGTAAGTGACCTTCTATCTAATAGAACTTTCGATTATCTGTAGTGCAAGTTTTCTTTCTTGACGTCGTTTACAAAGATAATGAAGAATTACTTTGGCAATATCATTTTATCTTATTTTATCTATTATCCACTTCTTCTCTCTAAATAATATTTTCTATTCGTAGCTAAAGCTCAACCGACTACTCAAGCACCAAAAGCTGCAACAGCAGCTCCGAAATCTTCCCAAAGCAAACCAACCAAAGCGGTTAATCTCGATTGTGACAAAACACATCAAATCGTCGCTCAAGATGAGAATTCAATTACTGGTGTATTTACTGTTCATTCTTGTAAAGCATCACGTTTCACTCAGAAACAAAGTCGATGCACATCTCTCGGTAGTAAACTCAGTTCATTAGTCACCGATCGTGTAGCTAAAACTGGTGATAAGAAACCATGTAGCGTTAATATCGTTAAAGCAAGTGGTACGTCAACTTCAACTGAATTTCGGTACACACTTCCATGCGAGAAAAGTCGTCAAAAAACTGTTATTGATTCGCTAAAAGACGCTTGTAAAGACAAAAATTTTGCAGATACAATTACAAATATCAAACAAAAAGAACAAGGAGAATCGAGTTCGTCCGAAAGTGACGAAAATAACAAGAGTCCAAGTAATCCAGTTAAAGTTGTGCAAACTGAACAGCCAAAGACAACCACGACAGCCAAACCAACAGAGAAGCCAACAACTGCCAAGCCCACAGAGAAACCAACAACTGCCAAGCCTACAGAGAAACCAACAACAGTTAAGACAAGTAAGTCGAATTTTGTTTTGTCTTTACAGGTGTGATTTTTCTCTTCACTCAAAATGAATGCACATATGTGTGGTGATGACAGAGACACGTAGAACAAAAATAAGGATTCAGTACAATCATGTACAATTTTAGCTCAACGAAAAACCACTAAGGCCGGCGTAACGAAGAAACAACCAGCCACAACACGTAAAGTTGAAGTGAAAAACTGCGACGATCATGACTACAACGACAAAGATCAAGTCTTAACCGGTAAAATCGTTGTTCAAGACTGTCCATGTGAGAAACGATTTGCCAACAATGCATCGCGTCTTGCTGCCGTTTCATCAACTGTCTGCACACAGCTTCGAAACTACTTCCAACAACTGTACGGAACAAAGATCAACTATCCATGCAGTCTCAAAGTAGTGACAGGAAACAAAACACACACCGTGTTCGCGTACACCGTCAACGTACCACAATCAGAACAGAGCAAAGCCAAAGCAGCAGCCAAGAAAGCATGTCAAGATGATCAAGTAAGTGAAAGTCGCCGTGATAGAAGTTACACATGACTGCAAAGCAGACACTCGCGAAAAAAGTGTTGAGAAATGCTCTGCTTATTATAGGTGAAAAAAGTGATTGAACAAGAGTCGCTCAAACGCGATGGCGATGATGATAGTGATAGTAGCAGTTCGGAAGAAACCACACGCGCTCAAGCCAAGCCTGTAACAACGCAGAAGGCTACAGTAGCTCCCACTCAAAAAGCTACTGAGAAGCCGACAGAAAAGCCAACCACCGCCAAGCCTACAGACAAGCCCACAGAGAAGCCAACAACTGCCAAGCCTACAGAGAAACCAACAACAGTTAAGACAAGTGAGTCGAATTTTGTTTTGTCTTTACAGGTGTGATTTTTCTCTTCACTCAAAATGAATACATAGAGTAGTGTGAAAGATTATAGAATCAATCTCTTCCTTCGCTTTTTCTTGGTTTTTGAAACGTCACTGATGTTTTTTCGTTCTACATTTTGCTCTATTACAACAATTCAAAGATGTTCTTCCATATTTTATTCGAATAAAATATGAAAGAATATCTATGAATCGATCTCTTTTCTGACAGAAAGGGCTATATAGCGGTTAATTCCTGGGCTCAAAAAGCTTAAAGTTTGCCTCTCTGTCTGTCCTATTCAATCAGAAAGCAGCATTTCTTAGATCATTGTAATTTACGGATGGCATCCAAAAACTAAGTACTAGTAAGGTAATATGGGTCGAGGAACTCAAATCCCTTGTTAGTTTTTCCTTCACTCACTAAGATCCGTCTTCTTCCTTTCTCTTTCTGAAACAGATGTTTTCCGGTATCTTGACTAAAATCTTGTATAGAAGGTAGTGGATGAAACGCTATTTGTGGATATGATGTGTGCGAAGATAGTGGTTTTGGTCCTTGCACCAAAAATATTTGGCATGTCTTACATTATAGTATTTGCCGTTCGAGAAATCAGAAAACATGGTATCTATTTAATATGATACTTACCTTATAAACTACTATATGTGAGATCCTTCGATAGACTTTTACGGGAAATAGGTTTCCAAAAGGTATACGCGTCAGTGCAGTTGTATCTTATTAACCATAAAGACCACGACTAGCCGTGAATGACTAACCGGAGGTCGGCCTACGAATGATTAACCGTTGAGCAGTGGGATTTTTAGTAAACATGGCTAGTACATGAAAATATTCTCTGACAAATAGGTGATTGATTCGGTTCATGAAAAAAGAAGAATCTTTGTCTTGTATTGGTTCTCATGTGGAACACAAGGCCATGATCTAGCTAAGGGCCAGTAGTAACCGCAATGTCCTATTTGTTCCTCAATGTATTGGAATATCCCAGGTCGATCATTCCGGCGACTGTATCCGTTGAAATCTGAGTCGGTTCCGGCGCACTTTTCGCCGATTCCAGCAGGTTCAGGCAGATTCCTGGCCGTTTCCAGCTCGAAATTTGCAGGAAACGGCCGAAAAACGAACCTAACCGGCCGGAACCGACTGTGCCATAATAACCTGGGATATTCAACAGTAGAACAATTCTCTCCAAAAAAGGGTCGGCGAATCCATAGGATAAGCGTTACTTTTTGTGCTAGCGCAAAATGTAGGATGAAAAAGTATCAATGGCATTTAAAAAATTAAGAAAAAGCGAAGGAAGAGATTGATCCTATAGTTTTTCACGCCACTGTATATGACGATAGACAAAGCTAACATACTAGAAAATAATCGATGACGATTAAGAAATACTGTGTCGAGCGTTTCGTGCGTTGAAGAACTAAAACAGACAGATCGATTAACAATCTTCAAATTTCGTCTTTTTCGAGTGCGTATTTTTCTCATCGTGTATTTTAACTAACGACAGTTTCCGTTACATTTCTTGATAGAAAAGAGCTACCCGTAGCAAATTCTAAAATTGACTGACTGTATGTTCTGTTTCTTTGCGAAAAGTTAATTGTCGACTACAGAAGTCTGCTTGTCAAACTCATTCTCATTACCGGGATCCTCTTTACAGCTTGTTCTTCCCATTTACTCATCTGTTCGCTACCATCATCAGATACACACACACAACCGCCTCTAAAATTCGAGCTTTATTTTAACGTGGAACGTTTACTAAGCAGCTTACATTTATCCATACCAACACCCCCTACTATCCGCAAAACCATCTTCAAAAAACTTACTCACTCCGGTAATCTTTCGACTACCTCATGCGACTTTACCGGTGTCCACCATCCACACTCGCCGGCTATCCGCACTGCCTAAGCGAACACCATGTAAAGTTAGCTGTACCTGACAGCTCAAGAAAGTGAATGCGTACGGAATAGACAAAACCTGCTTGCTTCATGCTATAGATGCCCTAAACCAATCGCCGCAACAGATAGCTTTCGTAGATCCTTCTCTCAGTTTTTTCCAAACCTACAAACCTATAACTCCAGTTCAGACACTCCCTATAAGGAACCGCACCTTAACTTCTACCGCCGCAGACTCTCGATCGCCCGCCAGCACCGCCTGATACGGCACCGAGAGAATCTACGTCACCTTACACACAAGCGCACTTAGTACGTACCGACCTGTCAAACAAATCTTCTGCCTCATAAATCGAAGACCGCTGATGCCAGAGATACACATTACCATATCTATACTCCATAACAGAAATTTCAAGTTACCGACGTTCCTCGCGCCAATTACTTTTCTTCTTTTAATCTCTCATGTACAATTTTAGCTCAACGAAAAACCACTAAGGCCGGCGTAACGAAGAAACAACCAGCCACAACACGTAAAGTTGAAGTGAAAAACTGCGACGATCATGACTACAACGACAAAGATC